AAAAAATAATAAAACGATTTATACGTGCATTTTGCAGGTATATTTTCTCACGCTAATAAAATCCCCAAATTTTGAACTTACCTATCCGAGTCAAACGTAGGGCTATTCTCTTCAGCCAGTCGCTTTTGAATACCGCCCGAATTTGTTACAATCCCAATCTTCTGTATGAATAGAAATTACGTATTCGGGTAAGTGTTTATTAACTGTTGTTCTTTTGTTATTTTAAAGCGAATTAAGTTGTGTGTTTGTATGTGTAATTTGTCTTTTTTGGTTGTATATTTTATTTCAGTTTACATGTATGATGAAATCTTGACAGGTTTATCAATCAATTGAATGTTAGCTCACGTTTCTTATTCAAGTTACACTTTGATATATGTATCGCAGGATTTTCTAGTTGTTGCTATAGAGTTGGGGTTTATAATTGGTTATTAAAATATTTTATTCGAGATGGAGAATGCAGTGTTAGAGTTTGATATAGGTTTAGGAGGGGCAGATGATGATATTGACATTGAGCCCCGAGATGACGAGGATGATGATGAGGCATCCAATGTTGGAGGTGGTGTTGGAAGTGGCAGTGGAGATAATGCTTACCCAATGCAAATTTACTTTCCTGAGGGGGATCTTGATCTTGAACCTTACGAGGGGATGGAATTCGAGTCCGAGGAGGCTGCCAAAGCGTTCTACAACTCGTATGCAAGGCGTGTAGGGTTTAGTACTCGTGTTAGCTCCTCCCGTCGCTCGAGGAAGGACGGGGCTATTATACAGAGGTCTTTTGTCTGTGCTAAGGAAGGTTTTCGAAACTTGAATGAGAAGCGGACGAAAAATAGGGAGATTAAGCGGCCACGGACCATCACTCGAGTAGGGTGCAAGGCCTCCTTGTCCGTCAAAATACAGGATTCAGGCAAATGGGTCGTATCTAGCTTCGTCAAAGAGCATAATCACGAGCTGGTTCCACCTGACCAGGTGCATTGCCTCCGATCCCACAGACAAATCTCTGGTCCTGCCAAAACTTTGATTGATACCTTGCAGGCTGCTGGTATGGGTCCCCGTCGGATCATGTCTGTCCTCATCAAGGAGTATGGTGGCATTAACAAAGTGGGGTTCACTGAGGTTGACTGCAGGAATTACATGCGGAACAATCGGCAGAGGAGTCTTGATGGAGATATTCAGCTCCTCTTGGATTATTTGAGGCAAAAACACACTGAGAACCCTTCTTTTTTCTACAAGGTGCAGGGAAGCGAGGATCAGTACACAGGTAATGTTTTTTGGGCCGACCCCAAGGCGAGAGCTGACTACACCTATTTTGGAGATACTGTCACGTTCGACACTACTTACAGGTCAAACAGGTATAGATTGCCATTCGTGCCCTTCACAGGGGTGAACCATCATGGACAACCTATTTTGTTTGGTTGTGCTTTTCTAATAAATGAATCAGAATCGTCATTTATGTGGTTATTCAATACCTGGCTGGAGGCTATGTCTGGTCGCCATCCGGTGTCCATCACTACTGATCATGATACTGTCATTCGGTCTGCTATCACGCAAGTTTTCCCAAATACCCGTCATCGTTTCTGCAAATGGCATATATTCAAAAAATGCCAGGAGAAATTGTCTCACGTGTTGCAGCAACATCCCCATTTTGAAGCCGACTTCCACAAGTGTGTAAACTTGCCGGAATACACCGAGGAATTCGAATCCTGCTGGCATTCTCTTGTTGATAAATATGATCTTGGCGATCACGAGTGGCTTCAAGATATTTACTCCGATCGCAGGCAATGGGTCCCTGTGTATCTCCGAGACACATTTTTCGCAGAAATGTCCATAACTCAGCGCAGTGATAGTATAAACTCATACTTTGATGGGTATGTGAATGCATCTACAAATCTTAATCAATTCTTTAAGTTGTACGAAAAAGCATTGGAGAGTCGAAATGAGAAAGAAGTTAAAGCAGATTTTGATTCAATGAACACGTCACCAGTTCTGAAGACCCCTTCTCCTATGGAGAAACAAGCATCTGATCTTTATACAAGAAAGATATTCATGAGATTTCAAGAGGAGTTGGTTGGAACTCTCACTTTCATGGCATCCAAAGTGGAAGATAATGGAGAGGTCACTACCTATCAAGTGGCAAAATTTGGTGAAGACCACAAAGTTTACGATGTGAGGTTCAATGTTCTCCAAATGAGATCTACTTGTAGCTGCCAGATGTTTGAATTTTCAGGTCTTCTTTGCAGACACGTGTTGGCAGTCTTCAGGGTCACTAATGTTCTCACACTTCCATCTCATTACATATTGAAGCGATGGACAAGAAATGCTAAGAGTAGTCTTATCCTAGAAGAGCGGGTTACTGATCTATTCAATGGTTATCTAGAGTCCCATACAGTTCGGTATAATACTCTTCGGCATGAAGCCTTTAAATTTGTGGATGAAGGTGCAGAAACTTTGGAGTCTTACAATGTCGCTATGGCTGCTTTGTTAGAGGCTTCAAAGAAAGTTTCTCTTGCTACAAAAAATGAGGGGAAGACTTCTACGTCCAATGGGCGTATGAGGGATGTTTCAACAGGGGATGAAACTAATAGGGAATCTCAAGGAAGCTCAGCCCAGCGATTGTCTGAGGTATATTATTTCTTTAATCACCGCTTTAGTTTGCCTGCTATTTGTATCCATTTTCTTTAATAAGAATTTTTTCTCTCTCTCTTTCATTCAGTGCACAGACACATAGACATATACTGTGACACAGCATAATAGTCTACTTAGCCAAGGAGTTGTGAAAATGTAAATAAGGCTATTATTTTATGGCGTCTATTAACTAATGGTTTGATAGGCATTGTGATGCATTATTTTAATGATTTTTGGGCAAATATGAACTGGATTTTTTGTCATTTATTCTCTTGATTTTCTATGATATAATTGGAAAAAAGGATTCATATGGCCAACACCAATTTTATTGGAAATAAGGTTTAGTTTGTTGTATTCTCGTGATTTCCTTGCTGGGAGGGGATCAAATATTATAGATTAATGCAAACTTTAACTTTTGAGTTTTTTTTTTCTTTTTCTTTTTCCAATTAATATTTTTAAGGCCAAAGTATTGCTTGATATATGCTCTATTAATCAATTATAATTGTATTATAGTCCTTGAAAAGTTCTTGAAATGTTTCTGTTGGATAAATTGTATGTAAGTAATTAGGAAGGTTGACAACTCTTGTATCAATGGAGTTAAAACAGTTTCAGTTAAAATAATTATCTTATCACTTCCCGTCAAATTCCAACTTGTGTTTAATGTCTTTCTGTTGAAATGTATTCTCATACCTTTGTATAGTGAACTATTGGTTACTGAAAAGGGATTGGAGCTTGCCCATGCTTCTTTTCGGCTCTGTGGAACAAGGGATATAAGTATAAATGATGCAACAAAGCTATCAGTTTGAAGGCTAATATTATTGATAGGATTCATTCCTTTTTTTTTTTGACAAGATAAGGATTTCATTCCTAATGGGGGAGATTATGTATATATATTTTTTGGAACATGAATTCATAATTAAGGAGAATACATTATATTGAAGAATATTACCTTCTTAATTTGGAGACTACATTCCAAAATAAAAACTAATCCTATGCATTAAAATAGTAGTAGATTTTTTTATTTATATTTTGTAAAATCGTTAGTTTTAAAGTTAGGATAATTTGCAATTTCATATCTTGCTAACTTTTCATGCTTGTTAGGAATTATACATTAGGATCTTCTACAATAATCCTGACATTGATGTGATTTTCAATGAAATTGAATTTTATCTCTTATTGGTTTCTCTCTCTCTAAATATTCTTTCCTTCTCTCTTTCTTTTAACTTTTCTGTATCAGTTAGTCTTATGGATATTTTCTATTTGGCCGTTCGTCCTATCATTTTATTCTTCCCTCTCTTGCTATTGTGGAATACATGTTTCACTGCATAACATTCAGTAATTCTCACGAATTGCAGGTTTGGTCTTGCATTCAATTGCTTTTGCTTATGCACTTGACTGCTTAGTATTTACCTTTTTTACTTTGACTGAAGATGCTTTCTTCTATGATGCTCGGACTCTCCATTCCGGTCGGATTGACACGGGTACGGGTACGGAATACAAGTCGAATTCTTAGAAATCTTTAGAAAATTTGAAGATTTACTTTAGCGGCAGTTTGGATGTAGATGGAAGAAGTCTGTTAAGAAATTGCAGGTTGGCACCGACAGTCCTTGGTCCAAAATAAATCTGTTGGCTGTCTGTACATGTTCATTTGGAACCCTAAAATTGTGAAGAAGAAGAAGAGAATGCGAGAGGAGATTTGAGTTTAATTGGAGGCTGGGCTATTTTTATTGGGCTAATAATATGGATATGGGTGGGTTTAATTGGAGCCTGGGCCATTTTAATATGGATATGAGTGGGCTAATAATGTAATTGTTTTTACACCACACGTATTTTAGTTTAATAAAATATTCAAATAATACAATTAATAGTTTTTTATTTTATTTTTTTCAATTCATCATTTTTAATTCAAAAAATACTGCAATATCAAAGTAAAAATAAAATCTAAAAAACAAAATTGAAGTTTGAAAGTCGTGCTTATGTACCCGTGTCCAAAATTTGGACTTTTTTTTAGTCATGTTCCCGTATTCCACATTTTAGAAAACAAAAAATCCTACAATTAGATACGTACCCGTACCCGATATTCGTACCCGAGTCCGAGCATCATAGGCTTTTGTTGTATTCTGTTTCTACTAATTCCTGTGTCACTTGTGTTGATTCCTTCCATTCTTAGCTTCACCATTTGTCTTTAGATACTAATTTTATCAAGTAAGACTGCATTATTAGCTTATTATGTGGATCTGGAAGTATGATCCCTGAATGCATCTATCCCAATTGGTTGGAGCAGGTTGAAATCTTCTTTTCATTGAGACCTTGCATAATGCCTTATTGTTATCACCATTAACTGACATTCAGAATCAAAGAACTTTGTTGTAATCCTATCAAATCCTTTTCCAAGTGCACATTTCTCGGTTCTTCATTGATCTGATAAGCTTTGTTAAAAACAAATGTTCTATTATTGGGCTATGGCATTTAGCGACCCGTGACTATCTCACTGAGAAACTTGACTCATCTTTTGTAGGATGACATGGATCAGAAGATTTGTGAACTTTCTCAGGAGCTGGAGCGTGCCAATAGGAAGTGTGAAGTATATCACACAAACCTCCTTTCAATTTTGAAGGATGTAGAGGACCATAAACAACAATTATCTGTGAAAGTTCAAACCATAAAGCTAACCATGAAGGATAGTCTCTAAAGGTGCAGTGTTTGGTTTCTTCTGTTATGATATTTTCACACAGTTGTGCGTCGAGTCGGATTTATGGAAGATTTTTACTTTTGCACTTAAAGAGGAAAAATCTTTGAGTTTGCCTATTACCAGCCATATCTGATGATCTTGTGTAGAATATTTAGAACTCTGGTTGCTAGATTATTCCTGTAGTATTAATTTTGCTTTTATGGGCTTTATAAGTGTATCATGTCAGCCGTTATGTACTTGGTGCAGCAAATGATTATTGTGAACTAGTGTATATATGAGATATGTCCCTCGATTCAATATTTTAACATCTATTTTTTCTTCTGTCACATAGTGCGATCTGAGATCCTTCTTCACTTATGACAGCGAGTTTCAGTCGAAATCACAGGAAAAGATGTTATCATCTGGTCATAGTAACACATTTGAAATTCGTGATTTGGGAATTATTTGGAGTAATTTGCAATGAATTTGCAGAAGTTATCTCCATAATAGATTTTGTCAAAAATGGGGACCACTTATGGCAATTTTTATTATGCATTGAAAACTAGGATTCCTAATAACATAGTGAAATGCCTTGTTATCTAATGGAAAAGTCTTGATTAATTATATCTTTTATATAGAGCTTTAAAGATGAAATGGCAGTATTTTATGAGATATTTATCTTCCATTATTCGAATCTAATCGAAGTTGAGAATAATTTAGGGAATGTTTCTCTGTACTTTCCGAAACTTGGAAGAATTATGTCATTAATCTAACAATATGAGATATCTTTGTTACTGTTATATTGAGATATATACACAGGTTATCATTTGACTGATAAGTCATACCTAATCTTACTAGGTCCAGACTTCCAGATCTATCTTTTCTCACTCTGTTTGGAATTGTTATTTTCTAGTTTTATTGTTAAACAACTTTATTTACAATTTCAGGAAGAAAGTTGCAATATTGTATTTTTGTTATTCTTTATCACTCACGTTTTTCACAATACTGTTAATTTTCTCAGTTATTCTCTGAAAAAATGGTTCAAAGGACTACTGAATGAGACCCTTGATTTTATTCACCCTATTGTGCCCTCTTCCTTTTTCCTGGTATGCTAGGTATTCCCATATTGGGATTCTTGGTTCTTTAGATATTTCCTTCTGCCTTTCAGTTTGTAGTTCAAATTTCCAGATTTCTTGTATTATTAGTTGGCTTTGGATTAATATCCAAATTGGTGACCTCACGTGGCATGTTTGTAAGGTGCATACTATTAGAGAAAAAAGAAAAAGTAAAATTATGTATATTGTACTGTTTAGTCCACGTACCAATCATGCATATGATGTGTATATTTATGGGCTGTAAACCAAATTATAAATGTCACAAGCTAACATCCTCTTAAAATTTCGTCATTTTTATCTTGGGGTTGTTTGGTCTATTTGGGAGCAATAAGTGAGTTGATGTTTCGGTTTCTTACCCTTTTTTTGTCATTTCAGATTGTAGCCTGAGTGAGGCCTGGTTGATCTGTTATCAGAAATATTACTATCTTTTGCGTACTTACTACTGTACTGTTAGATCTCTTTTGTAAGTGAAATTTTCTATACTTCAATTTGTTTTGGTGATTTGCCTTCATTTTTCTATTCCCCACCCCAACCCCCCACTGGTGCTCCACTGCAAATGGTGTGGTGTTGTTTAGCTCATCAGCTTGTTTTGCTAAGCTTAAATGTTATTTCTATTTTAAGTCACATTTGTTTTCAAACATGTTTGGACTGGTTATTTTATTCTTATAAGTAAAAGAGTTGCTTACTTTGAGAGTAAAGCAATGATAACTTTCAAAATGAGTAACTTGCTGATTTCCTAATTAGTCCAACAAAAGGGTTATTTATTTTAAAACTTCCCTATTCACTTATAAGTGAATTAAGCTTGTCCGGACATGCAAACTAATATTCCTAGATAAAAGAAGTATATTGCATATTTACTTTGGGTGCTTTACGACTGGTATATTCAGGATTACTACTGTTCATATCATATGTGACTGTGCATGGTCATACTTTTTACCTTGTCAATATAAAATAACGCTTTTTGAAATTCTTGTTTCTGGAGAAGATTTCAGCTCAAGGTTGAAAAGACACTTCTGAGAATATTCATTTTTCTGTAAACGGTTGTGTGTACATTTTATATGTTGCCTGTGATTAAGGAAAATACAGATGCTGTAGTTTGCCACTTAATGAATTTTTGTTCTTTTATTACAGTAGTACTAGAATTTTTAATGCCTTTTATTCTACCCAGATTCATTGTTGCAACCACATTTTACGGGTTCTTGTATAACAATCATGGGAATAGAATTTGGGACAGGTGGCTCTTAAAATCCTGGTATGGCCTGGCTCGGCTCTAGATGCCCTAGGCCGCCTAAATTTTCCCGACATGGGTCACAGAGAAAAGGGCCATGGCGGCCCTGACCAGCCCTTTTATCACCTGTAATGATATTCATGTACTGATTTTTTAGCAAGAAATGTTGCTAAGCTCGAGGTTGGTTGGTGGTAGGTAAGGAGCTCCTCCTTTTTTTTTTTTTGGTTTCGTTACCTGTAGAAAAGAAGATAAAGGCTTAATGTGTCCCTAGTTTCGACCCATTGCTTTGTTAATGTCCTGGTTGAAATCTTACTGCTTTGAGACTTGGTGATAAGAGCAAAACATTGCATATGATTGACTTAGAGCATGTTTGGCTAAAATTTTTATTGATCGAAATTGGAAATTATTCTTTTCCACTTCTTTCTGGCATGTAAAATTATGCGTTGATGTAATGCATTGCCTCACATTTCACTTCTACACTTTTTACACAGTTTGAAGGGTGAAATTCTAATGTATGCTGGTACGGGAGTAGCTGGACACTATTTCTCATTGTAGTGTTTTACGTACCTCTTCGCAGATCCAAGGCCTTCAGTTGACAGTTCTCAAATGAAGATTGAATAATTAGCTCAATGTTTAGAAATTGTGCTAGAGGAAGAAGTGTATATGTGTGTATATTTAGCAGTATAGATAGAAAGTGGCAGGGTGTTTGGACGCCCGCAAGCTAAGAGGGAGAAACTTCCACTGCAGAGGAAGACGACCTTCATTTAGCAGTATTTAATGTTGTATTTTTAGAGTGGCATGTGGCATACTGAACACAGCCATCTTTTGATTTCAATTCGAAGGCATTGAGTATCATTTCATTCGAATTTTTTTTTAATGTTTTTTACATGACCAAGCATATTTTGTTTTCTTATTTGAATTTTAATTAGAATTATCAGGACTTAACAAATTGCACTAGTCTTTTCTCTTTTTATATTTGGCAGCTCTAAGGTAATGTCATGTCCGTGAGATTGTCACCTGCACGATGATGCGGTGTCATCTATGTAATTATTATTTC